GAAGGAGAAGGCCAAAGGACAGGAGAAAGACAACGAAGGCACGGTGGTGAAGGCCAGGCAAGCGAGTCGGCGCAAGTCCACCGGTCACGGAGGGCTGCTGTTGACGCCGGCGACTGTTGAAGACGTGGAGGAGTGCATGTGAGTAGCCAAGTAAATAATTACAAACACGGGGCGGGTGCGGGGGGGTCCGTGGTGGCGTCGCTCTCGGGGCTTTCTTCACCGTGAACGTGGGTGTCGATCTGACCCTTGTCTTTTGTGTACCTTTCTCCCGCGGTAGTCTTGCCTGTATCTGCGACCCTGCATCAAACATTAGGTGTTGAATCTGTGTCTTGACGCCGTGCCACTCTCCCGTCAAGAATCCTTGTTGCGACATGGGCATGCTCGATGTTCGTATGACCCGGCAACACCAGCCTTACACCAACATTCTCCACCGCATTCCAAGGGCGCAAAACTTCGTCGCGCACGAGGAGTACAGCCTGCTCGACATGGATCGCGATGAGCAGGCTGCCATCGACCTCCGCAGACGGGCCAAGTNCCTTACACCAACATTCTCCACCGCATTCCAAGGGCGCAAAACTTCGTCGTGCACGAGGAGTACAGCCTGCTCGATATGGATCGCGATGAGCAGGCTGCCATCGACCTCTGCAGACGGGCCAAGTTGGTCTTGCTCAACGTCGGCGCATTCCAGGGGTGTAAGGCCGACGACGACAGGCTCGCAGACCTCATCTACAATGTCCGGCACAGCATGATATGCCCGCGGGGAACCATGACTTTCCTGGTCCCCCATCCGTGGTTCGAGAATGGACACCACCTGCAAGATGAACCCGCAGACATGAATAACCTACCCAAGTGATTGGTCGAGTGCGCAATCTCGAGCGCGGGACAACGTGCAGGTCGTGTTCATAAACCCTTCATGTGTCCCTCACGTTGACAAGTCTGATGCGCTTGCAGAAGAGATAGGGTAGGGAAACCACTCACACTCTCCGAGACGCAGATCGCGAGTGCGTCGCGAGTTGTCAGCTAGCAATATTTACCTTGAGTTCCTCGCCGTAAATTGTTGGCCTACTGATTGCATGGGTTGCTCCACGCAGACACCACCGTCATACCGGTGGGTTAACGGCGCGCCTGGATTTTTCAATCGCGCATCTCTGTCCCTGCAGCCGCACTCACAGCTAAGGGCATGCGCGTGGTTATCGAGGAGAACATGCTGACTCTGGTGTACTCCTCTACTGGAGCAGGACGCCCTGCGTCCGCCGCCAACGGTCATCTGAAGTTTAGCCAGGACGCGGTCATGCTCGTACATCTGACCTCTTTTTCATCCAGCAACTCGCCGACGGATGGTTTCACTGTGAACGAGAAAGTGACGACGGACGACCTGTACGGGAACAGCACGGCGGCCAGTGTAACATCCCAGTGTTCGTCGATCCTCACCGACATCCAACACCCCGGGAAAGGCGTGGACTGGCCAACCAAGGCTTTGATGTTCCTCGTGATCAGGTGGCATTTCATATCGTTGTTGGATATTATTATGTATCCTGTGTACGTCTTCAACCCATATGTATTATTAGTGTTCTCTCGTCGTCGGCAGCCAAACCCGACATGATAGGGGGGACATCGAGCGAGAGATGCTTTCCAATATATGACAGCGTGACTTACTTGCCGAGTCACCGATTTATGTGGTCAAGTGGAGCACTTGTTGATGTCCGCGGTGGTATGTGGTTTATGTTTGACAGTCTTTAGAAGGAAGAAGCATGGGGTTTGCGTTTGAACGTGAACTTTTAAGCCTTCGTCCGTGGCAACGGGGAGGTCGAAATGACTGACACTCTAGCCACTTATTATTAATGGCGTCAGTGCAGGATACTTTCGGAGATGCGCT